GAATGCACATACATGAATTATATGATGTTATGTGTGTTTCTGGGTATAGTGATATATGTGTTATATGATGAGTATATGGTAAGTGGAAAGGATTATTGATAGTGTTTGCATATGTATGTCTTTTATTTATATGAAATGATATATGGTTATATTATATGTTTTATATGCCTCACTAAGTCTATGACTTAGCGTGTAAGTGATTTACACGTAGGTACCAAGAAACGAGAAGTGAAAGAATAGAAGTGGCAAAGACAGTATCACTACTAAAAGATCAGATCAGAAGTATTTGACAAAGTATGTATTTGGTTATGTATAAAGTGTTGGCATGTAATAAGTCATTAAGTACGAGCACTCTGATCAAGTCTGTATTTTGTTTTAAATAAAGTTTTAAATTTCCCGGGATTTTTCTTAAGAGTCAAGGTTTGAAAAGTTAATGTGACACGTCGGACTCGTATCCGGGTCGGATACAGGTTGGGGTGTTACAGAGCAGCTCTGTTCAAGGTTCTTCTGGAATGGGACTGACAAATATGCTACTGGTGCAAGGGTGAATTGGCAGAAAATTTGTCTCCTAAAATCTGAAGGGGGTCTTGGCCTTAAAGACTTAAGATCATGGAATAAGGCATGTCTGCTGCTTCTCATTAAACATATTTTAGCAGGCGACGGTTCTTTATGGGTGGCATGGCTTAGAAACTACATCTTCAATGTCAATGATTTCTGGAATATTGAGATAAAGTCTTCCATGAGCTGGAACTTAAGGCAAATATTGAAAATGAGATCAGAAGCTATCTCTATTATGTTGCATTCTATGACAAAAGTTAAAGAAATCTGGAATGTTATCAGGGTTAAGTCCCCCAAAGTCCAATGGCATAAGCTGATATGGTTCCTTCTTCACGTCCCCAAACACAGTGTAATTACTTGGATGGTTTTCCTCGATAGGCTTCCAACAAAAGAAAGGTTACAACGCATGGGTCTCCTTAATGATTGTCATTGTGTCTTATGTGGTGCTGCTATGGAAACTAGGAATCATCTCCTCTTCGAATGTCGTGCAGCTAGTTCATTATGGATTGTTGTCTTCTCTCTTAATGGTTTGCAAAACAATCTGTTGTCATGGAATGATCTCCTTGCTTGGGCTGCTGCTAAATGGAAGGGTAAATCCCTTCTCACATTCATTCTAAAGATTGCTTCCAATGCCCTTATCTACTCTCTTTGGGAGGAACGAAACAAAAGGATTTTTCAAGAACGTTCAAGAACCATTAAAGATTTGTTTCATGCCATTAAGGAAACAATTGGTTTTCAATTAAGGGGAAGAAACATTAATAGATTAGATCCCACTAATATCACTCTTTGTAACAATTGGGGTATTATTTGATTCCTGTAAATTTTGTAATTAGCATTCCTTGTAACCTCTAATTTGAACACTGGTTTTGTAGCATTTCTTGCTCTTTGGGTAATATATGATTGAATTATCCAAAAAAAAAAACTTCAATAGAATTGACTATGCTAATATAAACTTATGTAATTATTGGGGTATAGTCTGATTTTTTGTTGTAAGAAGCGTTTATACTCCCAATTAGGATTTTTTTTGTAGTATCTTTCTTCTTTGGATAATAAAATTTTGCTTAAGTTGTCCTAAAATCAAAAGATAAAGAAGTTATGAAAGATTAAAGAAAATGAGTTTCTTAAGGAAATTCTGGAAAAGAGTTAGTAAGTGAATTTTGAGAAGGAATTTGACTTGTCATCAATTTAATTAAGGAATATGGAGTGTTAGAATTAGATTTAAAACATGTTAAAAATCTGGTATGATTCTTGAAGTTAATAAATTTAATGATGATTTTATAATAATTTGATAAAAGATAATGATCATTTTATAAATTTTAAAATTTCAATAGTTAAAAAATCATCTCAACAAAATTTTGGAGACTATTTATAGATTTTACCCAAAGGATCAAAATGTAAGGCTAATCACATTTTTAAAAAAAAAAATCGTACCCGTCACAAAAATACAAAATAGAAAGACAATGAATGACACCAAAAAGGAATCATATATTTATTGTTCAACCAGCAAAAAAATCTTTAAAATTTATTACTAATTACATTTTAACCTGTACATAAAAATGGCTTTTATCATTTAAGTTATAACATCCAATTGAAACATTATTGTAAATCAATCTTTCAGTTGAATAATAAGCTTATAACGTATTTACATTATATTTAAAATTTCAAGGCGTATTTGAGTATAATAAAAAATCTTTAAATTTATCTCAACTTATTGAATGGTTTCAGTAATAAAGAAAGTATTATTTAAATTTTTTTATTGATAAAAATATAAAAGTATATAGTTTAAAAACCTTCAATCAAATAGTTTTTAAGTATATATTTTATAAAATTTAATTATCTAAAATAATCATGGTAAAAGTTTAAAATTTTTGACAATATAATTAGTTTTATATTGCTTTTAAAATACTTTATATTTACAATATATTTGTATTAATTTTTGTAATATATTTCTGTTTATATTTCATTTATTAAAAGTATATAAATTTATAATTAAATTAGTTTGTTTTATGTTGGTTTTAACACGTTTATATTTATATTAATTTTTACTTTATTACAATTCTTCAATTTTAAAAAGGCTTAAAATATATTTTCTTTTAAGATATATTTTTTCAATTTGCCTTTAAAGTTCTTTTGTCGTTGTATTTCCTTGATTTTAAATGATATATAAATACTTTTTAAAAATATTTATTATTATTATTATTATTTATTAAATAGAGCACTTCACGTTTAATTTTGTACTAAAAATATATCTTACTTTAATAAAAATATTTAAATAACAGTTTAATTCACTCATTTTTTTATTCAGTTTAGTTTTTAATTTCTTTTATTTAAATTATAAATTAATTTTATTTACTTTTAAAATTTATATTAAAAATTTATAATTTAATATAAATTTTATTATTATAAGATATTCTTTTATTTTATTAATTAATAAAAATAATGGTGGTAAATATAAAAGAACACCAGAAACCTTCTCCCGTACGAGCTTACAACAGGTTGAAGATATAAGAAGATAGATGATCTTCTTGTGCTTCGGCAGAGACAGTCGCAGACAGCGTGCAACGCCAGCAATGGACCCGGACTTTGGTATTCGTAAAGCACTAAGCTCTACACTAGCAATCATCACTTTCCATCACAAAGTCAGGAATAATAATCAGTACTACATTTCTTGAATAATAATTCCAGGCTGCTGAGATTTATTATGAAGGTTGTCGGTATGAGAGTACAGTCACACACACAAAAAACGAGAAAAAGATAAACGGCAAGTTACCTTGTTGCTAAAGCCTGGCCGCATTTAATAATCCACAAATATTAGAAGAGCCTGGGGCCAATGCATTAAATCCACAACTACCTGAACTTGTTTTAAGTCAATGTTTGTTGGAGGGAAAAGACACCATTAAATGGTACCTTGGGTTGTAGTTTTGGTTTATATCTGCTTTAAGAAGCAGCTATAAAGAAAGGTACAGTGTTAGTTCTCGGGAAAAAAGCCGTACCCTAGAAAAGAAGGACAACACGGCATCGACCTTTTAGAATGATGTATGAGAGCGTCTCATGATTTACACATGGCCCATGCCTATCAGTCGAGAAAAAGGTGCAGACAGTTTGACAGGGAAAGCATACAGAGACAAGACTAGCATTAGTGTGCCCGCGCCCACTAATGCATTGATGCAATTGCCATAGCCCATCCATTGCTGTAGTCTTTCATTAGCTTTCTCGTTATCTTCCCCTGCAAATTCCATTTTTGTTGACGAATGGAGTTTAGCGGCAGATCCCACTCTTATCCCATGATGGGTACGGATGTATCTTGGAATTTAATTATTTTTATTAATTATATTTATTTTTAAATTTTATTTGTGTCTATAAGAAAATTTTATGTTATTAATAAATGTACCTTTAAAATTAATTCTGGATTGGCTATGGGTGGTGTTTAACACGTGTTGGGCCTGGAAAACAGATGACAACTGAAACTGGGCTTATTCCCAGATCTAATACTATATGTATTTATCCTTAACTCATACCTTGTAGTACAAACATTAGCCCAGTGGGTTTAATGACAAACCAAAATTACCACACAAAACCCAGCAACAGAAATCTCCAACACAACAAGGCATAATCATCGTTATTCAAATGAATAGCCCAACACAACGTATCATCAATGACAATGTGTAAAATTTGAGTTAATAGCCTAACAAGATTAGGTGGCTGCAATCGTTGCTGAATCTCGTCTCCTCACCTTGACATACTAAAAGGATGTAAATATAAAAATCATATAATATACTGTAGCAATAAATGTTTGTAGGATCAGTGTGAAAAGAATCATGTCTGGATGAACCCTGACGAGCAGTTTCTTTTGGTGTGGTATTGTATTTATCCACATCCAAATTTTCCCTTGTTTTCTTTTCTTTTTGAATAAGTACCATATCCATGTTTCGTTTTCGTGTAACTCTGCACAAACTAAGGAAATAAAGGAAGGTCTTTTTAAGAAAAACACTAACATCAGCAACAACGACTATTGCTTATTTCATGTCCCCGTATCCCTACACCCAGACATTATCTTTTACAAAAGTTGATACAAATTTGGAACTTGCGTGGAAGTAGTCAAGCTGTTGGGATGGTACGTTTGAATTTGATTATTTGTTATCCTAAAACTATAATGAACCGGGTCTCCAAACAGAAGGGAAATTTATACAAGGAAAAAAAAGAGAGTAAAAAACCAGAACAATTGAATATTGATTACAGAAAACTTTCATGTATCGGAATTCGGAATTCAGGATATACACATACACCTGATTAACGGTAGAAAATGGCCTAATCTCTTTGTACAATAACCTTAACTAAATCACGAACGATTTCCAGGCTAATTCTCATGTTTGAATGCATTAAAAGATGATCAAACCCAGAGAGAATCGAGAGAAATGACGAAGAAATTCATAGATCATTAACTAGTTCACCTCCGGAATACTTTGTAGCACCGGCTTCCAGGAACGAGGTTGATCAAACACAAATACATCTCCTCCACTCTTAACCATCCTGGCCAAGAGCACTTGTTCCAGAGTCAAACCTTGTACGTCCACCTTCTGCATCAAATGCTCCAGCTCCGCCTTCGAAATGATTATCTTCACCTCTCTGGTTTTTGCATCTCGTTTTCCACATACCAACTTCTCCTTCTCCTTCTCCGTAATGTTCATCTCGCCATCAGTATCTCCATCCATCCGAGTGGACTCCAAAGACCCCCAGTGCTCGTCATCAGCCAAGAATGACTTCTCGCGTCTAATACAATTCCCCATCCTTCTTTAGCAGTGATTGCTTTCTATCTGTAATAATACTATAACTTTTAAGTGACCGGAGGTTTTGAACGTGGAAATGTTCACCGTATTTATAGAGAAAAGAATAGAGGTGAGCAAGGTTCCCGGAAAGACAGGATATTGAGCTATGCAATTACGTTAAAACTGACAGCATGGTTAGTTGACCGAATTAAGATTACCAGGCTGTTTAAAAAGGGACCCAGATTACACTGCGGGCGATCATATCCGCAGCCAAATTGACACGGCTTCTAGCTTATCTGCATTTTTCGAAATTTTATTTTTTCGTACGATTAGAATATTTTTAAAAAATTTATTAATAATCTAACATTATATTCTTGATATTTTATAACTTTAAACTTTTAAAATTTCAATATAATTTTTGAAAATTTACACTTATGATGTAACGTTCATCCTAAAGATTGTTCAAGATAAGCAAGTAATTAATTAATTATGGAGGAACATGGGAGTGTGAAATGGATTAAGAGAGGCGGATCTTGGGATAAGAAACAAGGTGTGAACAAAATGTATGGTGCTAGAATCTTTGACATTTTTCATCCCTCACGTGGATGCACGCTGCTATGTTTGCTTGAAAAATAACTGAGTTTAATTTCCTTTTATGTTTATCATTCCATTTACACATAAAAATCTTAAGGGTACTGTTATAATAATTAAATTATGGCGTTAAAACTGATTAATCCACCATGTGGCCCCGTGGTACCATTGGATTTGATGTGTTATTAAGATAAATGGACTATTCAATTCAGGATGAAATTGTGATTGAGTTGATTAATTTATTTGTTTTATATGGAATTAACCAAAACACTTTCTGTAACATCCTCCATGCCGGGTTAGTGATTAATTTGCAAAGTTTCAACATTTGGTGATTAAAGTAGAACAATTATATAGTTTAAAAATAAAGGTTGGTAAATATGAGATTAAGGTGAGGACCAAATGGTCATTGGTAAGGAAATTTTAATTAAAATAAAATGTTATGGGGTATATATGATACCCACGTGTGATTTTAGGTTCCAGAACCTCCCATTTCTTCTTCATTCTTCCTTACTTTCTCCTCTTCCTCCTCCAACCGTGGGCTTGCAATTATAGGTAAGAAACTGAACTTGGTAGTTTCTTGGATTGTTAAGATTGGAAATGAAAGTTGGTATGTTATATAAGATAAAGGAAACCTTATATGACATTAAAACAACAAGATAAGTGATTTAGAGAATGATTTGGAAAATGAGTTTTTAGATGAGATTTTGATATGGATGAGTTTTTGATGTTTGAATCAGAATTTTGACTTGTCAATAAGCTAATTAAGAAGTATGAGGGGTTAGAATTCAAATTAGAACATATTGGAATTGGAGTTGGATTCTTAAATGCCACATGGAGAATTAGATTTCTAAGTTTTAGAGGTATTTAATGGATAATAATTAGGTTAAGTAAGTGTATGAGAGCTAAGAGTAGTAAAGGGATTGAGATATGTATGTTTGAGTTGAAATTAGATGATTTTCGGGCTAAAAATAGGATTTCTGGGTTAGGGGAATCGGTACCCATTCAAGGGGAACCGATACCCCTTCAACGAATATGATTTCCAGAATGCTAGAGGGGAATCGGTACCCCCAGGGGGGGGGGAACCGATACCCCCTCATCGTATATGAAATTCCAGATTGCTTGAGGGGAATCGATACCCCCAGGGGGGGAACCGATTCCCCCATGAGAAAAAGAAGAAGAAAGAAAAGAAAGCAAGACTAAGCTATAAATTCTTTAAATTAGTAAGCTATTAAAGCTTAATTGCAAGACATAGACATCTGATGATCATCTTAAAAATTATGTTTATGTAGATACCGAGCCTACTCGAGTTCGGGAACAATCTACAAGTAGAATCGATCGAGGAAAAGGCAAAGAAGTATAGGTGAGTGCATATGCATAGCATGAATATAGTAGTATATTCAGTTCTAGACTTGTGATAAGTCTAGATTCCATATTTTGATATATGATTACATTCCATATTATGATACATGACATGAATTGTATTATATGTATTACATGATATGAATATGCAGAAAAGTTATATGCCTATGTGTTAAAGGTATGGAAATACTATGTCTACGCGATATGAACTACGGGAAATGTATAAGCCCATGTTATGTAGATGAGAACTATAGGTATAGTTGGCATGCCAAGGGTAGAGGGTATACTCGGTTCTTTAGGACATATGTATATCCTTTGGAACCTGTGTGAAGTCTTGAAAGACACATACTTGATCCATAGTATATGTATATGGTTCTTAAAGAATTCTACGTGGTCCTTATGGACATAATTCTACGGGCACTTCGGTGCAATTCTACGGGCACTTCGGTGCAATTCTACGGGCACTTCGGTGCATTTATACGAGCTGTGGTGACAGCATAGTGCACAACCTCACATTACTCAAATACCTTAGGTTCTCAATATGCTATCATGGGCCAATAAACTTATTAATACTGAATAATGAATGTTACAGTCATACGCTTACAGGTATGGATATTGATGAAGTATACTACATTGATTAGTTACATGTTTGCATCTCATCTCATATGATCCTGACATTTTCATTACAATACATTGCCTTGTTATTATTATTGCCTCACTAAGTCGATGACTTAGCGTGTGAGTGTTTCACACGTAGGATTCGAGGATATTAGACGAGACAGGTGAAGCAGCTTGACAGTATTACTCCTGCAACCATCAGATCAGAAGCAACTTATCAGTAGGTTATTTTGTTATGTAAATAGCAGTTGGCATGTAATTAAAGAGTTAAGTTGTGTATGCTCTGAATATTTTTGTAAACTTATATTACAGTATGTATATTATTGTATTTTCTTAATACAAGCCCCAATATTTTACTATTATTTATTAAGAGTTGTGTTTTAAAGTCAATGTAGTATCTCTGACTCATATCCGGGTCGGGTATGGGTTGGGGGTGTTACATTTAATGGTATCAGAGCTATGGTTTAGCCGATTCTAGGCATAAACCAGAGTCTATGGAGTCTTTAAATGGAATACATGCCAACAAATAGTGAGAACTTCTGATCTGGTATAGTATGAGTATGCTGTTTTGCTAATAGGATAATGTGGTTATTCTTATTAGATGTCCGGACATAATAGCTCCCGAAGTGAAGCGGGAGAAGATAGGCATGCTGAAAGCAGTAATTCACCTGCCCTGGCCAGGCAAGGTGAAGAACAGGCATCTCAAGGAGTGCCTGTGCAAGATCAAGATACGTTCTTCAGAACGTTAGACGCTATTCTGACGCGTCTTCAACCTCCTGCTCCACTAACTCCAAGAATTAATGTAGCAAAAGAGTTGAGAAGTTTAGGAGCTCCCGAATTTAAGGGAGAAGCTGAGGAAGGTCCGGTGTCAGCGGATCTTTGGTTGAATGATTTGAAAATCATGTTAGATGGTCTCCACTGTTCCGAAGTGGAGAAATTAGATGGAGCTGTGTCTTTATTAAGGGGTCAGGCGAGGATATGGTGGACGAATGTCACCATGAGGATGTCAACCGACCGGTTGACTTGGTCTTTGTTTTTAGAAGAATTTAAAAACAAGTATATTGGAGATCAGTTTATCCGACAAATGAAGCAGGAATTTATGAATTTGAAGCAGATGAGCCGCTCTATGTATGAGTACGAATGTGAGTTTAATAAGTTGAGCAGGTTTGCAGCTGAGCTTGTGCCTACTGAAAAAGATGCTTGCGAGTGGTTCGTGGAGGGCTTGCGCCCTAGACTTAAAGAAATGTTGATAGTATTAAACCTGTCCTCGTTCCAGGAGGTGATCAATCGTGCAAAAGCTCTTGAAAGGGCTCAGAATGAAAGATTTGGGGACTTGAGAGTTCAGACATCAAAGAGGACGACTACTTATTCTGGTTCAACACCAACAAAAAGGGGAAGAGACTCGGGATTTCGATCACAAGCTAGATCAGAATCAGTTGCATCGTCTGCTAGGGGAGCAAGTCAGGCAAGACCTAGACAGACGCAGTCAGTGGAATCTGGTGTTGGGAGATCTACTCCGGGTCAAAGGAAACATTGTGAGCACTGCGGGAAAAACCATTATGGGGATTGTCGTATGGCAGCTGGGACTTGTTTTCGATGCGGGGATGCCGGACATTTTGTCCGGGATTGTCCCTTGATTGTTGGTGAGCCGGCACCATCTGGAAGAGCTGGTTCTTTCTCACAAAGGGGACGAGGAAGAGGCAGAGGAAGGAACCCGTCTGAATTCTCTGCTCAACCTGAAGTTCGATCCACTGCTCGAGTGTACAACCTAAAGACAAGTGAAGACCGTGATGACCCTGATATTATAGCAGGTACTTTTCAGTTGTATGATAAATTAGTACTGGTACTGATTGATCCGGGTTCTAATTATTCTTATATTACAAGTAAGTTAGTAAAGGAGTTGGGGATTCCCTTAGAAGCTACGAGTAATGAGAATATAGTAACAACTCCGTTAGGCCAGAGTGCCCGGGTGAATAAAGTTTGTAAGGGGTGTCCCATAAAGATTCAGGGAATTGAATTCCCTGCTAATCTGATGGAATTACCCTTTGACGAGTTTGAAGTGATTCTGGGAATGGATTGGTTGTTCCGGTATTATGGAGATGTTAGTTGCAGATTGAAAAAGGTAACTCTGAAAAGTCCAGACGGAATAGAGATAAGTGTGAACAGTGAAAAGTTTAATCCGTTAGCGAATGTAATATCAGTGATGTCTGCCAAGAAATTATTGCTACAAGGATGTCAGGGTTTTCTGGCAAATGTGATTGATTCAAGAGCTCAAGAGAAAAGGTTAGAGGAAATTCCAATAGTTCGAGAGTTTCCTGATGTTTTTCCTGCTGAATTGCCAGGATTACCTCCGGATAGAGAGGTAGAATTCCAAATAGAAATAATGCCGGGAACAGCTCCGATTGCAATGGCACCTTATCGAATGGCTCCGAAAGAATTGCAAGAGTTAAAGA